CACTGCGATTCCCTGATTGTCTGTTTAGATCAACAATTGTATGAAATATACGTATTGAAACTGCATTCTCGTATTTAAGTCGATGATTATATATGAGAGTAGTTATGATGTATGTTTCTATAGCAATCATTCATACGATCCAATTGGAGTTAGATAAAGAGCCATATATTTCTCATTAATTGCAATTCGATGTTTGATGTATTGTATTCACTATTATTTCAGGTCTAATTACCTGTGATTTTTTGTCATTTAAATTCATTTCCGCCTTTTAATGTAAACTGTAGTAAGCAGTGTGTATTCTAGACAACCTCATAGTGATCAGTGGTGAAAGTATTTGAATAATAGTAAGTTAAGGTTTTTTATTTGTAAGGATCTGTTTAAAGCCTAGTAGAACAAAAAATGTATAACGATCTAATCTTTATACATAATCTACCGATGTGTAAAAAAAAATTATCGAAAATAAACGAAGTCAAGTTACATAGCTTGATGACTCTAATGTCAATCTGCTTGATTTTATGTATTTTTCACTTAAATCTATGATAATGATCTATTCCAGATTAACTTGGAATGAATAAATATAAGTTCAGTATAATATAGATGAATATATATAGTGATTTTATATTAGCTAATATGTTCTACAAATATTTACCTTATTAATTTTATTAGCTTAATGACCTTCTAATTGGAGCTTAAGAATTTATTGAACTAATTTTATACTGCTAGATATATTTTCTTAAATTAAAAGGAGTAGTTGATTTAATATTGAATATAAGCAAAGCTATCAGTAATAATTTATAAGCCTCATTAACAATGGTTTCAAAAAGATTAGTGTGACTACTCTTTTTGGAAATTATGTTCACTTCACAAGGTAGAAATCAAGTATACGAGTTGAATATTTTAAAAGTAATCTGAATGTTGTAATCATTGAGATGTTTAACGCTAATATTCAATATCACATGTCTAGAGTTAACCTAGAAAAACCATTTTTATTTAGATCTTCAGTGATGAGTTGTAATGTGCAAATAAGTTTTTATGATCTATGACTGTGAAACTGAATGATTCCAAGTAAATTACTCTAATGTTCACAGATCCGACGTGTTAAGTTGGATAATTCTACCAGCAAAATCTAACTTTATCAATAATATGAAGTATTCAGTTTATCACTACAAGATTTCTAATCGACTTATATGGGTAACTGTCAGTAAGTTGTAATTTCAAAATTGTACTATAACTTTTAACCTAAAAGTTATCCCAGTAATTCGTTGTAGTATTTAAAACTAAGGCGCTTAATGATAAATTTTATTTTACTAAGTGACGTATATAACCATCACATTGTGGTGTCGGTCACTATGTTAAGTCCATATAACTTATTTTGGCTTATGGATAGTCAAATCTGTTCATTCATCCTGAGTTACGTTTTGATCTTGTTAATTAATCGCTTATCAATCGTGACTTTTTGTGAGCATATGTGTGTGCACTATTTATCCTATTCATCACATGTCTGTAACTTATTTTTGTTTGCCTATAAATATTGATTAAAGCTTGGTTAAGTGGAGTTGGCTCACATGTCTTCCCCACCTTACATCGTTTTGTTTCGCTTCTCTCTTTCTTCTTCGCTTCATTCGGTGAGATTCTCTGATTATCTGTCCCGATCAACGATGGTACAAGATGTACGTATTCAAACATCCATTCTCATATTTGACTTATTTAATTACGTTTTTCACTAATGCGATTCAAGTCGATAATTATGTACGAGAATCGGCTTTATGTATATCTCAATAATAATCAAACATATATAACTGGAGTCAGATCCCGGGCCACTACAATATAATCAGTTAGATTTATTATTTTAACATTTGATATTCTTCTCACAATATAAAAAGTTGATTAGTCATTCGTATCTTAGAGTGTAAACTTACGATCCATCTAATAACTATTCGCAACTATTAAAATGTTTTTTTAGTAAATGAAAACATAAAATTTTATGGTTTCATTTTAAATGTAAATAATCAAGATTCAATATGTTATTTTCTGCAAGATTGTTTAATCTCATAGTAGTCAAGATATCTTTAAACCAAAGAAGAATTCCATAGTTCGTAGAAAGAAAGATATGAAGCGATTTTAATCTCTTAGTTTGAAGGAAGACAGAGAGTGTATACACCGACGCCAGTGTGATTGATTCTGAACTATGTCACCAAGTCTCCAACCATTGATTACGATAGTCACGCGGACTCCGACCAGGCAGTCTGCATCTACCAACATGGCTCGGATCAGAAGTTGGTGACTTCAAGCACTGATGCCACGTTTTGGTTTGGCCGCCCCTAACTTTCTTCCAACCGTTTCCAACACTGGTCAGCATTGTGCGTCATGGTAATCGGTATTCAGGCATACTCAACAAGTGGCCTAATCATCTTAGTCGATGAAGATTTACAACTTCATCGACTAACTTACCACCGTTTAACTTCATTATTGCTTACTCGATGATCCCAGCATATGCGAGCAATATTTCTAAAACATCTTTGACCAAATACTGGTAGCTTACGAGTGTCTTCTACCCTTAATAGTTACGTTTGACAGCTGTAAAGTAGAATAGAACGAACTGATGCACCTAACATCACTGTATTCATAATCAATCTCCCTCTTCAATTCTTATTATTCCTCCTATGTCGACTTTCAACTCTAAATTTGCTCCATTGACTTCCTCCTTAAGTGTCACCATGGCCACCGATTCTAGTAAGTGAAACACTGTCCCAGGTCTACTGAAACCACGTTCCAAACTACACATTGGAGCCTTCGACGTACGTAACCTATATGAAATAGGCCAGCAGGCCTCCTTGGCTAAAACCCTAGAATCACGTACTGTTGATGTATGATGTATCTCGGAAACACGCATACAGTTTCCTAGTGTGTTCATTCACTTGACCTCACCTTTCCGAAACGGAGAGCCGACGAGATACACCCTCCGTGTATCTGGAGACCTGATGGCTAGTTTTTGTGGACCGTCAGGTGTAGGCATAGCACTAAGTATGAGCACTATCAGAATAGGTCCCCCTTAACAGTCGTCTGTGCGCTGTTCAGCTAAACGGCTCCATAAGAACTCGGAAGGATAGGGACATACATCGTTATATTATGTATTCTAAAAACTACAAATATTATGTTATTATATCAACCAACTGCACAGGACTCGCTTCAGATAGAAATACCAATACACTAGTGAAGTATTAGGCTAGAAGTTATTTGTTTTTATACTTTTTCTAGTTACAATCATGATAATTGAAATTTAATGTATATTACATTGGATAAGATTTTAATACCAAGATATCATTATTATCCTTGTCGATAAATAATTCAGATTACGTTAACTGAAAGCAAAATAAATGTCTTAAATATTTCAGTTTATAACGTTTAGTAATAGTTATGTCATAACTGAAATAGTTTATCGGAAAATTAATGAATATTGGAAATACCATAATTTTAATCATTATACTATGCGACTATTTCTCACTAGATAGTTATACTAACAGAAATATTGTTAAAATTATTTGTATTGGGGTTAGTTATTAGTGACTATTAGTATTGTGTGCTACTTATGTCGACATAAGTAGCACATAATACCAATCAGGAATAGAATACATGGCAGCAGAAGTTCGACAAGATCAAAGAGAAAAGAACGGGAACTGAAAGTAATTGGTATGGAAATGCAGAAACAATAAAGTATAAAACAATTAATGAACATTTTACAAATGAAGTATGGTTTTTCTATTTTATCAAATAAACGGTTGTCTTAACCTACGTTATGATCTGTTCGAAAATTTTTCTTAAGTGATTAATATTATTCTCAGTACCTACAAATATGTTTTTTACGATCTTATTAAGGTATGCTCATTATAACTAACCAAGTTTAAAAAAGCTTACAAAAGCTGAATAATTATGATCGGGTAGTTTATTTATAATGAAATTACTAAGAAGTTGTAAAGACAGAGTGGGATGCATTCATTACTAAACATACCTATCTAGAAGTAACTTCAATTCATTGCTAAGCTTGATGAAAAGTTAAGGCTCAATTAAATGTCTTAAATCTATGATTTTGAGAGTGCGATAGGCTAAATGATGGAACAATTTCTAGTATTATTTACTATTCAGATAATTTGAATTAACATGATCATAGAAATCCCTTGGCTTTCTTTACAAAGCATCATGTTATGACAGTAACAGTTTCTCATTCTACTTCATTTATCATTGATAAGAATAAATATAATCTAAACCTGATATATTAAAAGAAAATACACTTGATGCATATTGATATCAGTTTAAAACTACTGTTTAATTGACTGCCTTATTTTTACGGTAAAAGCTGAGGAACAATTAGCAACAGAAAAACACATTGAATTTCTGTTTCATTTCAATTTATTATTACTCAACAATATATTTCCTTAAATTTATGTGTTATTAAACTAAAGAGTAACATGTGTTACATAATAAAACAATGGTCTAAAATTTTACAGACCAATCATATTGCAATACCGTAAGATTGTATCTAAAAGTAACCATGTCATTCCCTATTTGATTGATTTTACACCTTTTAAATTAATTTGATTCATTTTTAACTTGATATTAAATGAAATACACTTTCCTGTTGAAGTTGTTTTGATTGTATTTTATTAAATATATAAAATCGACAGAATGAATAAACTAATGATTTCTCAATAACAAGTCATATTATAAAGAGTGTTTAAGGTATTGTTTTCGAATCAAATAGCTTGTTCTCATGAAAACATAGGTACATAGGTAGATGTGTCTGTTTGAAATTCCCTTAGCGAAAACATATCGTTTCGTAAAAAATAAACATCTATTTAGTATTAAATTTCTTTGCATTTATTTGCCATGAATAAACAAAGTACTTGAAAGAAAGTTATTAAATGTTTGCTTACCTTTTAAAAGAAATTTACTTTGAGTAAATGAGAACGCTGATCACAAATGAGGTACTATGAAATGGGATAAAGCTGGTTCAAAATTATTTTTGCATATATATATATATATATATATATATATATATATATATATATATATATATACGTACCATAATGTCATTATAGACTATAAACTGATAACACCACGCTAAGATAAACAGTTTAATAAAATATTCTAACATAACATAGAACACAAACCATTTTTCTTTTGATAATCTGTTCATAAAGAGGAAGAAGGAAATGAGAGAGGATTGTTTCATTTTTTCTTTGGATGTTTAGGCGGTGGTATAATAATAACAGGAACATTGGCATGATGTAAAACATAATCACTTACACTACCTAAAAATGTTCTCTTTACTGTTCCAATACCACGATTTCCAATAATAACTAAATCAACTCCATGTTCATTGGCGATACGTACAATATTTTCACCTGGTTTTGTACCAACATGTATGGTAAATCTTGCTGATAAACCACTATCTTCACAACGTGTAAAAAATTTAGCACGTAATGCACGACCAGATTCAACAAGAGAATTTAGATGTTTTGAAAAATCATCTTTTATAGAGGGAGATTTACTTGCAAGATTGTAATTCAATCCCGGTGATAACGGTTCTACAATATGAACCAGATATAAACCATCAGTTGTTTTCATAACATTATCCATATACCAATTGAATGCTCTTTCACTATGTTCACTTCCATCGACCGGCATTAATACTTTACGTGTTACATCGTTCATTGATGTAGCTCCTTTTGTTTCTCCAATATCTAATCCGTCGGAAGTTGAAGGTTGTTCTGTTTCTGACATGTTTCTTTTTAAGTTCCTTCTGTTTTACAGCTTAAATATATTGGATACTAAAACTTTTGTCATATATATGTAGGAATGATTCTACTTTATCTCTATCTAAACAATAAATGGAAATATTCATACAAGGTCAAAAATTAGGAAAATGGTTGTCATTTTCATTTGATTGGTTGTCCAACGTGACAGTTGATTTTCAAATAACCAATGAAAGCCTTTCAATTTTACTAAAATAAATTTGAATAAACGGATGATATTAAGTATATGCATTAATATTACGGTGATTAAAAGAATGAAGATATGCGAAATATACATCAATAAATTTCTAGAAATAGTTGCACAAAATGATGAAAGTTTTGTAAAATAGTGAATTGAAATACACTTTTTAATACAAATGTGGTATATAGAAGTCATTTTAAAATCAGTTAATTTTTATGTATACTTACATACGTCTGTTACCCCTCGTGGAGGAGCATAGGCCATCCACCAGATATCTCCCTCCAACTCTGTCGTGGATTTCCTTTTCAAGTTGTTGCAAAATGCTATTCATCCATTTGATGTCTGCCTCCAACTCCCAGACCAAAATGTTTTTGATTTGTCTCTTTTCTTTTAGCCTTGAGGATTCCAAGTTAGCGATTGCCCCATGATGCAGTCTAGCGACTTCCTCAATGTGTATCCTATCCACCTCCAATGTCTTCTCCTAATTTCCTCTTCAGTTGGAAGTTGATTTGTTATCTGTTATAGTATGGTGTTGCTAATGATATTCAACCAACGGCCATTGAGTATTTTTAGTAAACAGTTGTTTATAAACACTTGTACCTTTTTGATTATGGTTGTAGTAGTTCTCCACGTTTCAGCTCCATATAGTCGGACTATCTTGACGTTTGTAATACAGATTCTAACCTTTATGTAGGCTGACAGTTGTTTTGATTTCCATATGTTCTTCGACTGTAGAAATGCTGTCCTTGCTTTGCCGAACCTTTCTTTCACATCTCCATCAGATCCTCCTTGTCCATCGAGGATGTTGTTTCCCGGGTTCTTTAAGGTTTTTACATCTTTTAGAGCTTCTTCAACAAGTGTGGCTCGGTTGATGTTCTCCATGTTGTGTTCGGGGATCTTAGTTTTTCCCTTGTGTATGTTGAGGCCTACTGCTGCATCGGCAGTCTTCACGTGCATCCGTTATGCGTATATGTTGGAAGAGCTAGGTCATTTGTGAACTCCAAATCGTCTAGTTGCGACCAATTTACTCATTATATTTCGTGCTTCCATTAAGATTTGGAGACGTACATAATCCAAACAACCACCAGAAGAAAGAGAGCGTGAGAGAGTGAGCATCCTTTTCTGATACCGGTCTTCACTTGGAATGCACCTGTGAGCTGCACTTTATGCAAGACTTTTCAGTTAAGTCCGTTATCAGAGTCCTGTATGATGTCGACTTTCTTCTCAGGTACTCCATCGTATTGAAGAAGGTTTCATAATTTTCTTCTGTCCACACTGTTAAATGCTTTTTCATAGTTAAGGAGGTTGATGTATAGTGATGAGTTTAAATATTTGTTGATTCAGTTTAGCAAAACTCCTGAAGAGTTAGATTGTGTATGCATATTAACATATCCCTAATAAATCTAGAACTAAAGAGAAACATTTATTCAGTTTACTCTGATTATCCAGTTAATGTCGGCTAATGGTTGAAACTAGCTTAAGTTCAAAAAATCTTCATCAACTACGGTAACTTGATATGAATGATTATACACTTACAAGTGACTAGTTTGTAGCAGAACTCTATTCTAGGGAAAACCTGTGAATGGTGTAATTTATGTAGAAAATGAGACATACATTAGTGATGGTATGAAATAATTGTCTAGCATCTTATCAACTACTCACTTGATTTTTAAGTGGATGCAACGCTAATTTTCAAAACTATATGAGCATATATTTATTAACCAAAAGGTGTAACAATACTGATTACATAAATATCATATAACTACACTTTTACGCATAGTGAATTCGTTTCATAATTTTAAGGTCGTATACTGTTATATTTGCTTTTCGTTCACATTCATATATCCAGCAAGAAATCATTACTCTCAGAAGGGGTTTTCTGGAGATTGTAGTAGTTTCATTAGTTGGGATCATGAGTCAATTGAAGCTAGATCACCATGGAAAACCTGGAAGCACTGGATGGTCGTTTCGTCCTATTATGGGACTCCTCATCGGTGCACATCCGCCACTCCGCCTCGCGGGATTCAAACCAGGATCTATTAGTCTTACGCCTAACCACTACTTGTAGACTAAGTCAATAAATAATAAAACAAAACTGAAATAGAATACAACAACAATCTAATTCAAGTTTTCACACTTGCTTAGTAACGATTTAATTTTAAACTATTTTTATGTTTATTAACTGAGATTTTTCTTCAAATATAAACATTCTCCAAAATATTTTTTATAGACCTACTATTTATTAAAGATCATTGTAGTCACATTAAATAGTGAGACATTCTAAACTATTGGAACCTTAGAATCCAATAGAATGGAATCATGGTCATTTGGATGTTTACTTTTTTTCGACTATATTTTGGACTGTAAAAGTAAATTCACTAATATTATGTATTACTAAATCTTGTTGATAGTTACACAGGATTAATTTTCATTACTGACACTTCAAGGTCATTGTTTGACCTAATTAAGTTTGTTATTATCATTTTCTGTCAGATTTTTGATGAAACTAAATTAAATAAATAAAGTGAATTGTTTTCTTTTCGAAAAATTATTTACTCAACTGGTTAATAGATGATAAATCAGTTCTATATTAAATGAGATCTTCAATGATCAACATTAGCTATTTTGATAATAATGAGATTTGTCCATCAATTAATGGTGATCATGACCTGGAAAAATTATATTTTTTAGAACAGACAAATTATCTTGTAAATATTCCAGTGGAGTTCAACCAGGTCTGTTGTGAGATAGTAACTCACCGAAGACAATGGTGGATGTGTCGCTCAATTTCGTGGATTAGTTGAAGTTAGACATTAACACCGTTGGATGCCGGCTCAGTGGTCTAGTGGTTAAGTGCTCGCGCGCGAAACCAGTGGGTCATGGGTTCGAATCCCGCAGGGGGCGAGGTCGTGGGTGCTCACTACTGAGGAGTCCCATAGTAGGACGAAACGGCCGTTCAGTGCTTCCAGGTTTTCCATGGTGGTCTAGCTTCAAATGGCTGATGATCTTAATCATTGAAATTACTACAATCTCCACAAAACGCCTTCTGATAATATTCCAATTAAATTTTGAAATATAAATAATTTAGATATGAATAGATACAGGTTATTTAGATTAATGACCAACTTTAACTAGTCAAACATTAAAATGAATAGGGATAGGACAGTTTAGTTATCCAATTGTTTTCAGTAAATTCAACTACATTCGGGTTTGCGAAAGGGTATAACTGATGACAACAGGAAAGTTTTGTCCAATATTTCTCATCAGTTGAAATTAGAGATAAAACACAGTATAGAAATTTAGTGAAGTTACACGCCAGAAGGCTAACATATACAGAAGTTGATGAGTCGTCACTTTTTTTTCTAGCCCCATCAGATAAAGCTTCAGTAGCTTCAGTCACTAAATCCAGAGATATTTTTAGGCTTACCGAAGTTAATAATATGAAAGATTTCTAGTTCCATAAAATTCTTCCAACTAACAGTTTAGCGGTTGTGGAGATTGCTAAGTTTTTGATTGAGGTCATGAACCGATTGATGTTAGACCACCATTGAAAACCTGGAAGCACTGGACGGCCGTTTCGTCCCATTGTGGGACTCCTCAGCAGTGCCCATCCACGATCCCGCCCGCGGAATTCGAACCCAGGGCCTAGGATTTTATAGCTTAACGTTTATTCGTATTGTGAGCATTCTTTCGATTATTCTTAAAAATCTATGTTTACAACTAACTTAGTTCACAGTATACGTTTCATAATTTTAATCGGTTTAATAAATTACATCGATTATACATTAGTTATCTTGAAATGAACTGATAACCAACTGAATAATGTTATTTACACTTCTCACAAATGATAAAAAGTAATATTTTGGTGATAATATATTTTAAATATCATATATTTTGACTTCATTTTATTATGTGATTACCACTTTTTTATTATAGGCTTGTTAAACATGAATTAAAAATATTAATTCTTTAGGCTGGAAAATACCCTGAAAATATTTACTACTGATAAGTTACTTACTTTCTTCATTTACCCCTCGTAGAGGTGCATAAGCCTCTCACCAGCATTCTCCATCCAACTCTGTCCTGGACAATCATTTCCAGTTGGTTTCAGTTGCTATTCATTTGTTTTGTTGTTTGCCTCTGATTCCCAAAGTAGTGTGTTCCTGGGCCTTTCACTTTTCCGATCTCCTTCAGGATTCCAAGTTAGCGCTTGCCTCGTGAAGCAGTTTGGTGACTTCCCTAATGTATGTTCTATCCACCTCCAATGTCTTTTCCTAATTTACTTCTTAATAGGAAGCTGGTTTGTTTTCATTAACAGTAGGTTGATGCTAATTGTTATAACTTGTAGGTTTGTATCCCTATCAATGTATAATGTAATGCTACCGCCAATTAGAAAACAGTGATTAATCGACCGGACCAGCAATCTAGAGTCCTTAGTCATCCTGCTTCCCGCCTAGCTTTGTCTGTTAAGTCCAGAATACCAATCACAGCCTCATTCATTTAAAACATCCTGGGTTTATATACCAGCCAAACAGACCATATCGTACCATAAAATCGGAAACAACATTTGTACAAGAATCGGCCAAATGTAGCTGTGAATGAGGGAGGTCGTGATTAATAGACAGGCCATAACTCAAGAATGGTAAATCGTATAATAATAGTTCATAGGTCAAAATAAATCTCATAATACGAGGGACATGAATATGATCAGTTTAGTTATTTAACAATTATACGATAAAAATATATGTATAGTATTGGTCCACAAAGACTGGTATAAGCAAAGATTTATTAACCCAAAAACACAACCACGATTACCACGACGACGACGACCTTAGTCGAAAATACACTCATTTATATATTGATTGTACAGTTCAAATGACTTCCAATATACTAATTGTAAA